TAAATAATATTTTACAGTTCAATTTATATACGGATATAAACAGTAAAATACATCTCACGAAACAAATATTTCTTGCTAATAATGTTCTTTGACAGGATGGATATTTTGGGTTCCACCTTCCGCCACGGTCTGGACTGGGTGACAACGCTGACACATTCAATAAGGCGTGTTGTGTTTTTCGACCCTCAACATCCAGGTCACGAAACCCAAGTGCTGAAGATCATGAATCCAGATGTCCCAGGCAGTATATCGGGGAAGACCTCCACATCCACTCGGAATTATCCGGTGACCCACGCAGTCACGCAAGAGCCCACGACGACGTGGAGTGACGAAAGCATCATTGTGACTCCCGGTACCCTAACTGAAGGCTTCGAGCCTGTAGCGGCATTTGTGAAGAATGACACTTTAATCATCGAGCCCGTGGGCTTTCCAGAAGAAGAGAATCGTGTGTACCCCGACGTTTACCCGGAAATTCCTGACCTGCCGACTGTGAAAAGAGAGAAACCACAAGAAAACAGGGGTGTATTTCACATAGCTGTCGGTGCTATAGGATTATCTACAATTGTGACTGGTGTCGTCCTCATGTCGAGTTTCAAGGAGCGCACGCACAGGCCTTCTATCTTGGTGTCGCGTGGCGTTCAGACAATATAAGCTTATAAGGAGGGAGGTTTTGTATGGCATGTATATACTTTTGTGTAGTGTTATGAGGAAACTTAATAAAACACTTTATCAAACTTGGCTTATATTCCTTCGCGTACGACATGGGAGAAGCTCCGCGATGGAGCAATCTTCAAACTACTAACTGGAGAGGCAAGTTTACCACTATGAACAAGGAAATGTGCTACATATTAAAGGTTAATATAGTATTGGAGAGACAAGAAATACTTAGTATACAATGCACAAAAAAATATTTTGTAACTTCATTTGGAAAGTACACGGACCAAATTATGAATCTTTAACTACAAAAGAACTGTAGGTCGTGTACTTCTGCCACAGTGAGAATGGGTGAGTTGTACAGAGCAAAATTTTGCATATTGATAATTGATGTATAATTTGTTTACGCTGTATCAATACTTCCATGCATGCAGAAAATTTTGACGATGATGTAATCATTATAAATATATCATATCAAACATATGAAGTCAAAGAAGTACTCATAACGGGAGTACAACAGTTAAGGAAGGTAAGGAATATTAGTAAAGTAAGGAATAAGATGTATGGGCTATTGCAAAGATGTTCGTAGGGTAAGGAAGGGATTAGCAAAGGAGGGGGTTTAAGGGCAATTAGGCCAGTTTCTGGGAGAATGTCATTAGGGAGAGAATCCAGGGAAGGAGGCTGCCGTGACAAAGGGTCACATCCAGGGAGGGATAATAGGGAAGGAGGTGGGGATGATACAGCTGAAGCAACGGGGGAGGGGTAGGATCTGTTGAGAGGGAGTGAGAGGAAGGGGTGCAGAACATGAGTAGGAGGATGGATATCGGCAGTTACTTTGAGTGTAGAAGGAATGGGATTAGAAAGACTGGAGTATGGATGAGACGTAGGCATGCTTATGGGTCATGCATGAATAGGCAGTTTTTAATGTTTTTGAGAGTTTCTGCAGTGGAGTCGGTTGGGAGGCCTGAGAAACAAAGGTTTCCTTATGGGGGGGGGGGGGGTGAAGGGTCGAGGGATTTTTAATGGTTAATGGTTAAAAGCAAGATAAATGTGCTAGACATCTAAGGTTATGTAGCACTATAGTTAATGTTAGTGAAGGGTGGTTGAGTTAGTGATTAGTTGTCAAAGCTGGGCAAAGGATTGGTGAGTGAAAGGGTTAATGTCGGGTGTGGTAATGTAAAGGAGTTGTAAAGGATTAGGTGAAGGATATGTATGCGTTTGAGGAAAGAGAACAGGTTGTTGAAGCAGAAAGTGTGGGATTCTGTAAGGTCGGTGAAGGGAGGATAAGTGGGGGAAATCAGAGGTACGGGCTGTTTCAAAACGTGGGCACGATAATAGGATGTGTGGGATTGAAAGGGGAACATTACATAAGGAACATAAGGGTGGATCAGATTGTGACATCAGATAGGAGTGTGTTAGACGGGTATGGCCAATGCGTAAGCGGGCGAGAGCGGTCTCCCAACGTCTGTTCCGATGAAATGGAGCTGACCAGGAGGAGATTGATAGTTTTACAGAATGTAATTTATTAGTGCGGAGGCTTGATCAAAAAGATTGCCATCGATTATACAAGAAGGTCTTAAAGTGTGGGTAATAATCCGTGGCTGGGATACGTGAGAAGCGTGGTTGGTATGATGTGGACATAGCGGCGTGGCGTGCTAGTGTATCTGCCTGTTCATTGCCGGGGATTCCAACATGGCTGGGCACCCAGCAAAATTTGATTGTTTTATGGCGTGTGGACAGGTAGAACAACCAGTTCTGGATCTTACAAACAAGGGGGTTGGTGGTGTGTATTGACTTTATGAGAGTTAATGAGTTACGGGAGTCAGTAAAAATTGTAAAAGAGAAAGAGGAGAGTGAGTATATGTGTTTTAGAGCAAAAAGGAGTGAATACAGTTCTGTACTAAGGACACTGGATTCAGGAGGAAGGGAGTATTTGAAAGTACGAGTTGGGAAGATTAGTGGAAAACCAGCACCGGAGGTGGATTTGGAGCCATCAGTATATACATGAATATTAGAGGAATGAGTGGAGACATGGTCAAGGAAATGGGTGAGAAGGACAGTAGGAGGGATATTTAATTTTGGTGGGTCGGGGAAAACAGAAGAGCAAATATGGGGGTGAGGTATAAGCCATGGAGGGATGGAATGGACAGAGAACGGGAGAGGTTGGAGATAGGGGAAAGGGGAATGGGAGAGGAGGGTATCCATGCGAGTGGAGAAAGGAGTAGGTAAACGTGGAGATGAAGCTAGGGTAAGAAGTAGGGATTGTGGGATAGTTAGTTTAGTGAGGGAAAGTTGGTGGAATCGAACATAGCATCGGAGAGAGAGAAGGGCACGACGTCGAGATAGAGATGGTGTGCCTGATTCAGTGTACAGGCTCTCAGCTGGAGAGGAGCGAAAGGCGCCTAGTGCTAAGCGAAGACCACAGTGATGGATTGTATCAAGATGGGCAAGGAGAGAAGTTGAGGCAGAGGAGTAGATATGGCATCCATAATCAAGAGTGGAGAGGATCAAAGTAACATGAAGATGAAGGAGAGTTTTGCGATCTGAGCCCCATGATATATGGGATAGAGTTTTTAAGATTCGAAGGCGGCGGAGAGCTTTTTCTTTAATATGTAGAATATGGTCTCGCCAGGACAGTTTGGAGTCAAAAATGACACCTAGGAATTTGCCAGAGGAGCGGCATTGGAGTGGAGTGCCATATAAGAAGAGTGGGGGTTGGGGACCTACACGTGAGCGAGAGAAAAGGATGGAGAAAGATTTAGAGGTAGAAAAGCGGAAGCCATGGTTTGTGGCCCAGGAAGATACTGATGAGATTGCAGATTGAAGAAATTGGTAGAGATTTGGTATGGATGTGCCAGAGGCATAGATGGTTAAATCATCAACATATAGTGATGACCGGGCTCCTGGTGGTAAAACTGAGACAATATCATTAACAGCAAGAAGGAATAAAGTGGTACTGAGTACACTGCCTTGTAGGACACCTTCGATTTGAGAAAAGAAAGATGATGTGGCAGAGGCAATTTTGACCTGGAAAGTGCGCTGGGAGAGGAAGGACTTTATGAAGACACCCAAGTTTCCACGTATGCCTAGAGAGGACAATTGTTGGAGAATATGGTACCGCCATGTCGTATCATATGCTTTTTCTAGATCAAAAAATATAGCTAGTACGGATTCATGGCGTGCAAATGCGGATGTAATATAAGCAGCTAGTTAGTGCGATGGGGCGATAGTCTTGAGGGAGGGTACCCGATTTATTGGGTTTCAGGAAGGGAAGGATAAGAGCTTATCGCCAATTAGAAGGAAAATTTCCTGATGTCCATATGTGGTTGTAAATTTTTAATAGGAAGGATAAGGAGGAAGATGGGAGTTACCGGAGCATATGGTAGTGAATACCATCAGGGCCTTCATGAGTGTTGCGGCACGATTGTAGGGCAGCAATGAGTTCAGAGGAAGAAAATGGAGCATTATAGGACTCAGCGGAGGATGGGGTGAAGGTAATGGGGGTACGTTCTCTGGTGTTCTTAATAGAAGAGAAGTGTGGAGAAAGGTGAGAACCACTACTGACCTGGCTGAAATAATCACCCATTTCATTAGCGACTTGGAGAGGATCAGAAATGAGGGTATCTCGAATATGGAGGACGGGGGCAGGATGGGGGGGGGGGGGAAGTTTGCCTGATAGTTTATGGATTTGTCGCCATACATTTGAGATAGATGTAGAGGATGTAATTGATGAAACATAATTTCGCCAGCTATTTGTTTTACTATTCCGGATTGTACGACGAAGACAGGCAGATGCTCTTTTAAAGGAGATAAGGGCTGATAGTTGATTTGGAGTACCTCTCTTGTAGCGGTAACTGTTCCAGGCTGCACGTTTTAAACGAAGTGCTTTAGTGCAATCAGAATTTCACCATGGAACACATTTGGAGGTATATGGTCTTGAGGTTCGAGGGATAGCTGTATGTGCAGCTCTTAAGACTGTAGTTGTGAAACACTGTATCATTTCTGAAATGGAGGTGAGGGAGGATGGAGGGGTATGAATGGCAGAGAGTGAAGTGAAAGTATGTCAGTCGACTCTATCAAAGCACCAGCGTGGGGAGTTAGGATGTGGTACGTATGAAGTAGGAGAAAGGAGAACTGGAAAGTGGTCTAAGACTGACCAGTGGAAATCTAAATGAAGAGAAGGGGAGCATAGAGAGAGGTCAATGCATGAAAAAGATTGCGTGCGTGTATCAAAGTGTGTGGGGCGATCTGAATTTAGAATAGTAAGGTCAGCTGTGGAGAGAAAGCGCTCTAGAGATCGGCCTCGGGAATTGGTGATAGAATCACCCCAAAGAGTGTGGCGACAG